CTGCCCACCCTGCCCACGCTGCCCACCAGCCCCGTTGTTGGTGCTGTTACGAGCGCACCTGTTGTGGGCGGGCTTATTGGTTGATAGATTCTGTGCCCTTGTAATATTACATTCTTGCCGCTGGCTGTGCACCCCAGCTTAGCGCACATTCCGGCACTTGACCCCTTGGACAGCTCACTACGTGCCCCCGGTTGCAGGGGCCCTGCAATACGTGTAACACAATACTCTCACACGCATGTGATCCAGTGATATGTCTGAATATTGACAGAGCCATGACAGTTGTCGGTCAGTCTGGGGGGTTTTGGCGATGTTGCAGGATGAGGCGACTGCAGCCAACAATACCAACGTCATTTCTTCAAATATCGCAGCAAGGGGTCAGGCACCTGGCTATGACTGTTGTTCGCTGGTCATGATTCGATTGTGCGGGGCCTACTGTGGTGACCACTCGAGGTGCCTCACGGTATGATAATCCATTTCTCGTCCTTGCGTGCATGCTACAATAGGATTTATCTATTCACCTCAGCGACCTTGGCACCGTCACCGGTTGAACGAGGTTGAATTCACCTATCTCTCGGCTCCGCCACGCTGCATGCACCAGTAGCGCAGTAACAGCAGAGCACCGCCGTCACCCATGTAGTGATGGTGATCTGGGTCGCAGCTGGAGGCCCATCTGCAAGAGCGTAAAGTCGCATGGCTGTTGCTTGATCACATTTGCTGCAGCTGCAGCTCTTGTACAGCATTCCTCTCGATCTCCCACTACGCTGCGAAAACAAACGGATGGCTTCGCTGTTGTCCAAGTCGTGTGCAAGAGCCCGCGTATTCTCGGCTTGCTCGAGATCCGTCCAGGCAGTCTGGTGCCAGCCACGCTTCATGCAGCGCCGTGGTGAGCAAGCATGGGTGCCGAAAACAGCTGCTGCTGCGCTGGGTGCCGTCATGTTTGGCTGCCCCATTGCACTGCGAAGCGCTCAGCAACAACTATATATATACTATACTATACTATATATATACTTACGAAGGGGTTGAGGTACCCTTTCAAACCAACCAACATCAGCGGCGAGGCTCTTGCACCGATGAGAATCGCCGCCTTGGCGCTGGCGTCCCGCCTGTCAGGTGACACCCTACCAGCGCCCTGCCCTCACTCCTTGCAGCGGTGGCGGCGGCGGCGGCGGTGGCGGCGGCGGGCGGCGGCATCCGCCAGATGACCCCGCAGGCGCGTTTCGGGGGAGCTTCGTTGCGTGCCATTGAGGCGGCTGCTTGTGCACTCAGCACCCTCAATTTCAGGCCCCTGCGGGACCACTCAGCCTCACACTCCAATGGGCACCCTAGCCGTAATGCACGGCGCCCCACTATGCATCGATGTCGCAGCAGCCCCAACCCATAATCCCCAAACCCCTCGACCGGTTTGACCAGGAGCTGCAGGAGCTGCTGATTGATGAGTCACGGGCGGAGGGCATCCAATTCGTAGACGTGCGAGAGCCCGGGGAATACGACGCCGCAGCGCTGCCGCGCTTCAAGCTCTTCCCCCTCAGCCAGGCCGCCAAGTGAGGCATCGAGGCGCCCGCCTCGCTGCCCCTGAGCACCCTGCTGCGCGGCGCTGGGGCGCTAGCGGGAACCCCCGCGTGTCGCATGTGGCCGCTGCGGCGGTCAGGTGCCGCGCCGCAGGCAGGGGTCCCGCGGGCGACCCTCCACAAATTGAGGCGCAGGGAGCGGCCAGCATGGCGACCCTCTCGGGCAGCCAGCCCCCGCCGCGCTCCTCACGAGCGCCGCGTTCCCTGAGCACCACCGCTCCACGCACCTGATGCATGCGCCCTCCCCCTTGTCACCTACAACACCAGTCCCCCCCCCCACACACACACACCTCCGTGCCCACTCGCCGCCGCAGGTGGTCTGACACCATCACCGATGACCTGGACATTGCGAAGCCAACAGTGGTGCTCTGCCACCATGGAGTGAGGTGAGGGCGAGGTCGAGGGGGACACGCGCTGCACACAGCACCGTCAACAGCCACTTTCATCGACGTGGCGCCTCCTTGCGACGCCACTGATACTGTTTGGTCTTAGTACCGAGGGCCTCCACTTGCTGCAACACTCTATCCATGCCAGTTCTGTCGCCTCGCCGCGGACCCACACCGAACGACTGTGTTTGTGCGTTGGGGCCGCCGCCCGGATACCTGTGTACCACCATTCCTGCCCAACTTTGGCGTCCCTCCCCTGCCTTGGCTGTCCCCATTCCACCCAGGTCCATGCAGATGAGCGTCTTCCTCGTGCAGAGAGGTGCGCGCCTCCGCGCTCGACGCAGGCGGCAGGGCAGAGTGCTGGGCTCAACACCAATGCAGCCAGCCCGCCTTCCGCTCTCTCCCTTTATTTGCGCCGCGCTTAAGGAACCCCTGTCCTTGACACCTGGCCCCGCAGCCATACTGCCGCCCATCAACCCGCCTCCCAAACCTCGAAGGATTTGTGGACGTCGCAAACGTGGCGGGCGGCATCCACGCCTACAGCCTCGGCGTCGACCCCTCGGTGCCCACGTACTGACCGCGTTTCGACCGCCGCCCGTCCAGCAGCCGCCGGGTCTTCCGTCGCAGCAGACGCGTGCGAGCACGATGCGGCGGGCTTTCAAATGCGGGCGGCCGCGTCTTGACCGCCGGCTGTGCCGTGGTGCGGTGCGGTGCGGCGCGCGCCTCCACCTTGTGCCTTGGACATAGTGCCGTGATGCCTGATTTGTTGTGCACTTTCTTTCTCGCGTGGGCTCCATCTGCCCGGGAGCTGCGCCTGAAGAATACAATGTTACCGTGGTCACAAATTTGGGACGGTTGGCACGGGGGGCGACACGACTCATCCGCAGCAAACAGCCTGGCTGTCCAGTCGACACCCGTGTGAGCAGTCTAGGGAAGGAAGCGCTGTGGCAGCCACTTGGGCGGACCACCGCCTGGCAAAGCATGCAGTATATCTTGCCGCAGCACACGCGGGCCGGGTGCAGGGCGCGCAACGGCGGACGCATGAGTGGTGGTTGGGAACTTGGGCATGCGTTCGAGCCTGACGTGACAGGCAAAGGGGTCCACATACAGCAGCACAGCAGGGGCGGCTGAACGTGATGCCGACAGCCAGTCAAATCGCCGATAAGCCGATCCCAGTCGCGACGCCTGGTGCCCCTCTGGGCCCGCGCCGGTGGCAAGCGCAACGGAAGTTCTCTGAACAGCAATTGGGTCATCCAAGCCTTGTGGCAGCCCTCAACGAAGCGTGTATGTTGGACCTGGCTGGCGGGCCAGCCGCAGGTGACAGGCCAGCAAAGGGAATCTTGTCTCTTGCCCGACCCGCAACGCCCTGCAAAACAGCTCGCTGCCCGCACGCCCAGGCGCCCACGCAGCCGCGGTCGAGCCTAAACTCCACAGCTTAGCGTCCAAGGCGTGCAAAGCTTGCCGCCACTGTCAAGGTCCCATCGACAGCGGGCCTGGTTGCGCCGCAACTCCCTGAAAAGACGTGCGGCCTCTCTTCCTCAAGAAAACAGATCACGTGGTCCGGATCTGGACGCCGCCTTCACTTGGCGCCCTCCGTCGCGATCTGGGCCTGCGACCTCGCGTTGATGAGCGGCAGCAGCAGCGCCACCGCCGCCACGCAGCCGCCCGCGAGGAGGCCAAAGTAGCCGTCCCTGGCAGTTGAGAGTTGGCGGTTGGGGAGCAGGCCGGGCGGTTGGCGGTTGGGGGCAGGGCAGGGCAGTGGAGAGGTTTTGAGACGGCGCGGCGCCGAAGTTCAGCTCCATCGAAGGGTGGTGCGCTGGGCGGCAAGGCGCGGGTGCAGAAAAGGCGCAGGGGCTTGCTGCGTGTCCAACAAATGATCAGGGATGGCGCTCATCTCTCTGCAGCAAGCTGCACAAGGAGGAGCGAGTGAGCGCGCCAGGCCAGGCCGGGGGCGCACCAGCCGAAGCGCTGCTGCATGAAGGCCAGGGGGATGCCAGCGAATGCGGCGCCCGCATAGGAGATGAGCCCCAGGATGCCCTTTGATGTGTGAATGCACAGGATTAGAGGAGAGGGAGTGTGTGTGTGTGAGTGAGTGTAAGGGTGTGTTTGTGTGCACGCATGTGTGTGTGTGTGTGTGTGTGTGTGTGTGTGTGTGTGTGCAGGACCAGGCTTGAAACCTGGACGGCAGTGACGCCCGGCCGGCTGCGGCTGGTTGCACAATTAAGTTGAGCGCAGATACGATATATCGCACAAGAGCAGGAAGGTGGGCGGCGCACACGTCCCTGGTGGACCGCTCAGCACGCTCAGCGCCCTCCCCTGCACCACGCACCACCACATTTTGCAATACCCACCTGGCTGGCGCCCACAGACTTCTTGGACACGATCTCAGCGCCACACAGCCCAATGAGCATCTGCACAGCAGGTTTGGGGTTCAGGATCCAGGGTTTAGGGTTCAAAATTGTAGACACACGAGGGGGGCGGAGGTCCCCCTGGCAAGGCACAGGCTAAGCCGTTAGGCGTCCCTGGCGCCCCGACGCACGCTGCTTGGTGGTCAGGGCCGGGGAGTCGAGTACATTTGTATGCACTCTGCCCTGTGCGGCTGCGCTCTGGGCTCGGCCCCGCTTCACCCTTTCACGTAGCAACGGCACCCAGGCAGTGGCGTAGCAAGCCTGTCCCAATGCACACACAACAGCCAGACGCCCCACTCGCCTGCGGCCCGTAGATGCCAAACCCAAGAGCTGCGATGACCAGCCACGTCACTTGCGGCGCGCCCGCGGGCGTGGCCCTTAGTGCGGCCAGCACCCCCAGGGTGATAAAGAGGTAGGCCACCACAATGCGCACGCGCTGGCCGACCTGGGGGGGGAGCAACGGGTCCATGGGGCAGAAGGGGTGGGGGTGTTGTGCTGGTGCGTGCGCACAGGTGCAGGGGTGCGGGGGAATCCAGGTGTGTATGTGCGAGTGCGTTTGTGCGCGTCTGAGTGTGCATTTGTGTGTTTATGCGTGCATGTGTATGTGTGTGTACGCGCGCGCGCACGTGCGCGCGCGTGTTTACTGATCAAGGGGGTCCACGATGCCAGTCAGGGACGAGTCAGGGGCGTCAAACAGGGCCCGAGCACCCCGTGAGCTCGGCACGGGAGCAGGGCGCAGGGCAGCTGCGGCGCGTCCCCTCACGCGCCCCGCCCGCGCCCGGCGCGCGCGCCTGGCCTGCGCCGCTGGTCTTGGCCCTCTTAATGGCGGCGTCAGACAGGACCCCCGACAGCGTGCCGCCCAGCAGACCGCCCAGCTCAAGGCCTAGGGGGCGGCAGTCCGGGGTGCAGGGTGCGAAACGAGCGACGCGTGATGACGTCATGCAGTGCTGTGTGCGGCCCTCGCGCCGCAGCCCCCAGCTCCCACAATGCCCTTGCTGCAGCGCCCGCCCTGCTCTACGGCCCACAGCCTGCGCGGACGCTGGGGCTGCGCCCTGGGCGAGAGCGCCCCCTCACCCCCTCACCCCACCCACCGACCCCCAAACCCCACTGCCCGCACCGGACACTGTGAGTGCAGCCGCGGCAGTTGACGTGGCTGCCTTGGCCTCCAGCAGGTAGAAGACCAGCCAGGAGGTGCAGCCCTGGCGCACCAGGTAGACCTGGGGGGGATGGGGTGGTGTGTGTGTGTGTGTGTGTGTCAGGGGGTGATTGAGGTGAGGAATGAGGGGATGGGTTTGACCCAAACCTCATGAAATGGGGTTGGCGTGGGG